TAGAAATTCACATTAGTACCAGTCTTTAAAGCTTTTCTGATCAGGCCAAAGACAGGTCCCTATATGGCAGAAAAAAATTTAGGATGAGCAGTCAGATAAGATTTTATGCCTTATCCTTCTGCCATTTTCGATTATTCAGCACAGCCTCTCTTTAAAATGACCACTTGACCTTTGCTAGAACAGCCATTAACCTTCTATAGTCTAGCGTAAACAGCTTAATTTTCTGACAGTGGCATGACAGAAGAAATTACAAAGCCAATTCCCACTCTCAGCCCAAAACAGATGCTAAATGTAAATCACTCCATTTTCTGGAGGAGGGCATTCTGCTTCAGTGACTCTGACACTCTTGCTTTCTAGAGAATGAACTAAAATTTTAGCAGAAATCATCCTTTTTGTTTCAAGGTGTGTTTTTTAATTTATTTTAATTACTCTAATTCTACATGTGAATGGTAAAAGCAGCTCATTGCTGCTTTTTACATGGTGCTTTTCTCTAGACAAAAAGTTGTATCATTTCTCTTTTCAGCGCATTAAAACTTATCTGTCAGGCTGACTAGTTTAGAAAGGACCACAGAATTCATGCTTGTATTATCAGAGTCTTGATTGTATAAAATAGGCTCAAAGTGAAATCTCAACGCACTGAATTGGAACAGATTTTATTTTATAAGAAAGCCTTTGAAAAAAATAATGGTTTGCTTTTTAAGATGACATAAATAATAAATATACATAGGATTTAGAAGCTTTAATGTTCTAACTTTGCTGATCTCTAATGTAGCATTATTCCATTTTGACCTTTAAAGGATAATATTATTTGACACAAACAGCTTATTTTACGTAAATAAATCTTGTTGGCTCAGAACTTTCCTCTTTATTCTTCTCACGGAAAAAAGTGTAGGAAATTTTGCACGTATTAGAGAACCAGAGCACATGTGTCATGTGTGCCAACACAATGGATTTCAACTGCTCCTTCTAGCTGATAAGCTCTACTCCAGTGGATCAATAATCCACAAGCTAAGAAGGTTTCTCATGGCCATTATGGTCTGAAAAAAGTTGTCGCTACAGTCTCAGGCCAATAATGCACTTTTTTTTTAATCTATACATTGCACAACAGATAAGAACAGCTTCTTTCAGACCATTTGCTAGGTCACTACTGAGATTTAATGTTAAAAACTTAGAAATAGTAATAATGAATCAACATTATGAAGTGTTTTACATTCCATATTGGATTTCCCTACCCACCTTAAAAAAAGGGAAAAAGGAGGATTTAAGGAATTACAGCCCAGTCAGTCTAACTTGAATACCTGGAAAAACACTGGAGTACATCATCAAACAATCCACTTGTAAACACCTAAAGGTTAACATAGTGATAAGTACCAGTCAACATGGATTCGTCAAGATGAAGTCATGCTTAATCAACTTGATTTCCTTTCTATGGGCTTTGCAGATGGGGGTGAAGCAGTTGATATGATAACCCTCAACTTTAGTGAGACTTTTCACACTGTCTCCCATAACACTTTCATCGCTAAACTACGGAAATACGGTCTGGATGAAGCTACACTAAAGTAGGTGCATAGCTAGTTGGATAATCATACTCAAAGAGTACTCATCAATCATACAGACCCCCGCTACATGTGCATATAAAGGCGCAACGGGATCTAATGCATAATTCACACAATCATGCCTCCTGCCATACCACACACACATGGCAGGAGGCATGATTGTCGGATCATGTATTAGATTCCATTGCGCCTTATTGCCAGCGCAGGGGAAGCCTGATCCTAGGTTCCCCCTGCACTGACAAAAAGCAAGGTCCCATGACTGGGAGCCCCACACACCCCAATTGAGGGGCTACCAGTTGTGGGGGTGCCGACACCCCACCCAGGGCTGAACGGTCGCCACTGCAGCAATCTCCCTGCCTCAGGGTTGTGGGAAACCCTTGGGTCGGAGGGTCACCGCAGGGAGATCTCCCTGCCTTGGAGGTGTGGGAAACCCCAGGGGCCAGAGGATCACCACAATCCTCTGGCCCCAGGGGTTTCCCAGTACCGCCAGGGCAGGGGTAACATGAGATCCCTGGACCCTAGGGATCACAGCTGCCATGATCCCTAGGGCTTGGGGGTGTGTGAAATCCCAGGACTATGTCACAGTCCCTGGGGCTGAGAGGTTTTACACTGAGTATGATGCACCCCAGCGGCTGGGAGCCCCATCAGCTAACAGGACTCCTAGCTGCAGAGGAGACCCTGCTACATGTGCAAATTCATGTTGGATAGCAAGCAGCTACAAAGTCAGCACACATTTCTGAGGTCTAACTTCATAGCTGCTTGGAGCCTTTTGTCATGTGATAGCTACTTTTCAGAAGTAACTAGCTTCTAGGTAACTGAACAATTAACCAGTTAATTGCACAATACTTGTAATGTGCAGGGGGGGGCCATGCTATCAGACCGGAAGGATGTATCAAGTTGGGCTCTCAAGGAGTTAGTCTGGGTTCAGTATTTTTCAATACGTTCATCAACAGTCTGGAGGAAAAAAACTATGTGTATTCTTAAATGTGTGTACGATACCTAACTAGAGGGTAAGCAGACACTTTAGAAAATAGGGTTGGAATTCAAAATGATTTTTTTAAACTAGAAAAATTATCTAAATTAAATAGGATGATATTCAATTAAACTAAGTACAAAATACTCAGGACAATTAAATGTCCAATGCAAAACGGGGAACAACTGCTAAGGACAGAATACTACTGAAAAGGGCCTGGGGAATATAGCGGATCGCAGCCTGAATATGAATCAACAATGTAATGTTTTGGCAACACCCCCACAAAAACCAATAGCATAGTGGGATGTATTAACAGGAGTACTGTATGCAAGCAAAGGGAAGTGATTCTTTCATTTCATTCAATACTGATGAGATCTCAGCTAAAGTACTGTGTTCAGTTTTGGACAGTGCATTTCAAGAAAGGCATGGATGTACTGAAAAGAGTCCACTGAAGAGCAACAACAGTGATTACAGGACCAGAAAAAATGTGTCATATAAAGAAAGGGTAGATGAACTGGGTCTATGTAGTTTAAAGATAAGACAGTGACTTGATAACACTTAAAATACAAAGAACAGTTATTTTAAAGAGGATGGTAATCAATTGTGCTCTGGGTTCCCAAAGTAAGGACAAATAACAAGCTTACATTGAAAAATGGGAGACTGAGGTTGGATACTACAAACAGCTTTCTCCCTATGAAGCACTGGAATAAACTACCTAGAGAAGTTACTGAATATCCATCCTTGGAAGTTTTCATTTTTTGTCTAGGATGGTCTGGACACGACTGATTGATATCCTTTCGAGCATTTCCAGCCCTATTCTTCTATGATAGTAACTGAAGAGCTCACAGAGATCTAGCATGCTCAGTGGCTACTTCCAAGGGGAAGCAGAGGTAGAAAGCTTATTTTGAGCTTCAGCCAAGGGTACCCTGTGCTGGCGAGACTACCAAGTTATAATATCCTTGGGAAAGACATGGGAGAATTCACACTGAGCATGCTCAATTCATAATCCAGCATTTTAATTGGGAGTGAACTCTACCGTGTTTGACTGATAAGCAAATGACTTCTCCCTGGCTGCCACTAGACTGTTGTTTAGGTGCCATACGTCATCTCCCAAAATTAAAGGTAAAGCTGTGAAGTCTGATATTGTAAGACTCATCATGAATAAGTAAATCTGGGCCTCTGAAATCTTTCAGGATATAACAAAACTTAGATTTATAACAAAACTTACAGCACTATAGCAGCTGTACCCTGCCCTACTTCACACCTAGGACTATATTTAACAATCTACTTGCTATAACAAGCAACTGGTTCTGGTTTCTAACCTCCAACAGTCCGAGTCTCAAGCTACTTTAGTGAAACCAATTTCTTTTCTCCATGGTTCTCACAGCTCAGACTGGCACCCAAACAAGATAAAGGGAATCTTCTAAGCCAGGGGTCAGCAACTTATGGCTCACTGGCCACATCCAACCCACAGAGCCTTTTGTTCCAGCCTGCAGACATGGGGCCTTGGTGCCATTTGGCTCCCTTGGGCTTCAGCAGCAGTGGGTGGGGCTTCAGCAAGTGCTGGCACAGGGCAAAGCAGCAGCGGTGAGTGCAGGAAAAGGTGGCAGCAGCAGGTACTTCCCCCATGCTAGTGGTGGGTGCCTTCCCCAGGCTGGGCACTGGAAAAGCACCCACT